GCAATCATTCGCGTTCAGTAGATTATTAATATGGCTAATTAAATATTAATATAAATAATATACATATATATGTATATATATACGTTGCTGTCTCGACGTTTTAAGGTTGTGACTACTGCACTTCGTAAACACGTCTAGTAAATAACATTTCACGCTGGTTAATGAGGTCGGTGGTCTAGAGGTTTAGCACACCGCTTTACTTCCGGTCGTCGTGGGTTCGATTCCCCGCACGGTGCAACCTTGGTATTCATGAATATACTTGTTTTTATAGATCTGCGTGTTTTCTATAAATATTATGTATGTATTTATAAAAGTATATACGTTTTACTTAGCTTGGGACTAGATGGCGCTGTGAGAATTGTCTTAAATTATTATTTATTTCTTTATATTACGTCCTAAACTAGTTTGAACTACTGTTAGTACTAGATTGGCACTCTGTTCCCACTGTCTACCCCATAAGGGATGTGCGTGACGGTTACAGTTATAATATGTGTATAAAAAACTGAGACCGATATTGACACATATGAATATTAATATTTAAATTATGCGGGTATCGAACCCGTGACCGTCGGAAGTTACATGTTGTGCCAAACCGCTTAATCGTTGTTTCCTACCTTAAGAATCGAAAGTTCACTAACTTTCCTAATGAACCGCGTAAAACTCGGCCACCGTTGCTCGCTTTGCCCCCGGCTACACCCGCCTGGCGTCAAAAGCTATGTAACTCGAGAAATTGTCAAATGAATTTAGTAATTCCCACGTTATATTATTAAATTATTATCATAAAGTTTTATCTTCTTGTTACACATGTGTATATTGTTCACAATTTCATTACATAGTATAAAACAAAGTCGCTGCAGCTGTCTGTCCATATGAATGCTTAAATTTTACGCAACGGATTTTGATGCGGTTTGTTTTATAGATAGATTGATTCAAGAGGAAGGTTTATATATATAATACATGTACATCCGGGGAGAGTAGCTAGTATATGATGCATACGTATGAACACGCATATTCAAAACGTGTTCATACGTTATAAATTATTCACAAAGAATCCTAAACGTTTCAGTTTACACATTCCGGTATAAAAAGGCAATTTTATTCACCTTTGAGAAATCTACAAAATATTTTTTTTTCAAAGACCTGCACATTTATCTTGTGATATATCATATTAGATCTCTAGTAATATCTGCTGCTTATCAAAGCCAAAATAACATATATAATGTATATTTAAAGGCTATTTACGGCAAAATATTCACCTGCAATATCTAAAAATATATATTTATTTCCGAAGCATATTTAACAAGAATATCAACGTCATATTGTAATTTAATTTAAATTTTATATTTACAATAATAACAAAATTTTAATTTCGCTAAAGGCTGTCTGTTTATCCTGCATGCAATTATCTTTTGAACATAAGATATAAAAGATTGAACACGAAAATATATATGAAACGGTTCTTAATTAAAATCTAGCGTGTTGCAATTTTAACAGAAATGTAAAATAGAAAAGAATGTATAGTACAGAGAGCATATTACATTGTGTTTTTCGTGTTTTCGCTCTAGATATTTTATATTGCAGTTTTTATTTCAAATTTTCCATTTTTATTCAAATATATTCTATATTTAAAATGTTTTTTCCGTGTTTTGACTCTAGAAATTCTATATTGCAGTTTTTATATCAAACATAGTTTTCTATTTTTAAAAATGTATTTTATAATAAAATAATTCGTGAAAATGTCTAAATACCACATACCTACTATATGTATATTTCACGTCAACCTAATTATTGAAAAATTACACAAAATATATATTTAAATCCAGTTACATTTATATTTAAATCCATACAAATAATTGATCATTACAGATCAATTATTTGTTTCGTGTAGTTATGACCTATAATTATTATTTAAAATGTAAAATAAATAAATATCTATAATTTTTTCTGTGTATTTAAAACCTGTAATTAGTATTTACAATAGTTACTATATTACAAGTTGCGTGGAAAAATGTAATGTAATAAATTGTATGTATTTACAATCACTTCGAGTCCAAATCAAGATTCTTCTGCCCACAGAAAGGAGAAGCTCTGTTAATATACTCTGTGGTAGAATTACAGATGAGAGTATATTATGTAGTTCTACATAGTACTACTAAACATACTAAATATGTCGAATAGTACATATTAAACTTAACTAGTAATTTATCAAAATCAACATCCATCTTATGTAGGCCATTATATACCTATCTCTCGTAGATTATCCAGTATTCTTTTAATTTAATAATTTTAATGAATTTATGTACTACATTGCGTGTATTTTTTGTGTTTGAAAATCAAAACTATTCACAACATTTTTAAGAAGATAGTTCAAACTGCCTACTAGATTATTAAAAAAATATATATTTTTTATTTAATTCTCTTTACATTTCAAAATATAATTTTATTTTAAAATTTCATTTAATTTAATTTTTTTATTACGTGTTTATGTGTACTATTATCTCAAAATTTAGATTCATAGAATTTTTGTTTTTTATTTAATTTTTTCTTGTTCTCGGAGTTTGTGAGAAATGGCTAAACAGATTTGTGTACGGTTTTTACTAATGAATCAAAATAAACTGTGCTTAAAATTTTGTAATGAGTTTATATAAATTAATTTAGAAACTATCAAGGATGTCGTTATATTAAATAGTTATCTTATTGATTGAAACTAAAAGAAGAGATTAGAAATCTCTAGGTGCTCGTGCTTCAGTAAATCTTGGCCTGAAATAAAACTTTTATTGTAATTAACAAAATGAACAAACAATGAAGACAAAGGAAAAAAACTTTGTGTGCCTAAGCCAGCATCGCAATCGATCTATTAAGACGACCCTAGAGTATTAAAATTAAACTAGTAAAAAATTATATTGTTAGTAAAATAAAAAATCGTCATATACCTAATAAATATTTCGATTATTTTAAGCTCTTTGAACCGACTTAAAAAGAAGGACCTTTATGTTCACTGTATGTATTTTTATTTTTTGATGACATACAAGTAGTATGAAATTTCACCCACCCATATTGTATCACTAGCTGTTTCCTGGAACTTTGCCTCCAATTTTTTAAATAATAGACAGCAATAGATAATATATATGTATGACATAGTCTACACGTTCTTGTATCACAAAGATTGTCTTGTGATTTAAACTAACTTCCTGTCAATTTATTTTAAAATCCATTTGATGCGTTTTGTCCTAAAAATCTGATAAAGACAAATAGACAGACAAGCACTCTTTTACATTAATAATTTTACTATTGAGATATTTTTATATAATAATTTAATGTATGTATAAATATGTAGACAAATAAGGTAGGTAATCCAATTTTGCACTAACATAATATCAAGTGTGAAGCGTGACATTTTCCATATTAATCGCTCAGTCGACTATTTAAATTGGTATATAAATTTTAGATGACATCCATAATAGAAGTTAGCTCATTGGAGTTTCATTATCTATTCATAGATCCGACGGCATTCTGAATATGGTAGCTAGTAGGCCAGACTAATCTTTTATTGAAAGCCATCCCCTAATTTTAGAATTAAATTTAAATTTTATATATAATATTACCCCTTCATCTTATGTAGAAATTAATAATCTTACACGTACAGTATACATGTTGCTAATAAGCTGGAAGAGTACAGTCGCCATCCCTCATTTTATAAATTTTATATTAATTTGACATTAATTTTTATGTCACTTTTGAATACTTCTCCGTGAGCTCTCTTGGGAATTATACACATTTATTACAATTATTAAAGTTTTTTTTTATAATTACTATTTTACAAATAGTAAACTTTAAAATAGTGTACAATGCTGATCGATAATAAATATAACATTTTATGTGTTACACTTGTTATAGGCTTTGAACACTGCTTATCCTAACGTTCAGGATTTTTCCTAACTAGGGAGCAGTTTCACCTTATGTTTCAAGGATTTAATATAACTTATATTGTATAGTAAATAAAAAAATATTCCATATGGTATGAAGCAACAGTAACTGAATATTAAAATTAAATTTACAAATACAGATTTTGTTTTTATTGTATGGCAACACAAACAGAATATAAAGAAATAGAAGTACTGTGTCGGGTGACACAGTACTTCTAAAATACGAGAGAAAAGGACATATATTACAGCCGCCAAATATGCTTTACCAAAAATCAAGACACGTCCCTTTGTTTTGGAATTATTGCTTGTTTTAGCATATATGGGTATAATGGCATAAATAATAAATTATAATGGCATGAAAAAAAATAAATATATTTGAACCTGTTGAAATATATAATAAACGTTTATCTGAATAAACATTTCAATATTTCTTAAAAAAGCACATCTCAGCTCCGTATGTGGAAATATAGTTTCCAGCAGAGATTATTATGTATTATTATAATTATAACTGACAATTATACTTTTTCTAATGTATTTCATAAATTTAATTTATATATAAATTACACTAATATTTTTTACAATCATCGTCCTTTTTAATTTATGTTTGCAGTTAACACATTCGTGTATATGAACAACGATCAAAGACAGACACACCTACTCGATACTACAGACTACGTTTAGTAGTAGTACTGATATTAAAAGTCAACGATTCATATAAATTGTATCAACTTTTGGTTGCTCTATACAGTAATCATATATTAACATCAATTATCAGCTAGCGACTGAAATCACGACAGTTCTGTCGCTAGCGACTATAAGCTGCTATAATCATGATACAATAGTTACGAAAACAATATAAGTCAAAGCATCTGTGCACTACTTGATTGCAACTTTAAGTAGCAATTGAACTTTAAATAGTAGTAAGCGTCAGCAATACAACTATGCAACTGTTGTATAAGTATTGCCGACGCTAACAGTAGCTAATCTTCACTAAACACTTACACTTACTTCCTTTAAAAAAAATAAAATTATTGTGTCTAAGGACCGTAACAAGAAGACTTATTAAATCTACAGAAGCGGCATCTGATTGTGGCGCCTCGGAGTCCTGTGCTGCATCTACGTCGAAAGCTGCAGATGAGGGCGCAGTGGGAGGGGACGTGCCGACTAGGCCCACTCACCTGGATCTCCTGCCACCCCCACCCAGGAAGGAAGGGAAGCGATCTCCACAGGTAATGTAATTATAAATATTCTGAGTCATACTGATTTTCATTTATTATCTGTATTGTATCTGTGTCAGATAGCGTTTATATTTAAGAGAATATTTGTTTTTTTTTTTAGTTTAGATACGTATACAAATATATCATAGATATGTTTTAAAAAATATTTGGTTGTTCGGAAAGTAATTTCGTTTGGCAATAAAGGCATTGGTTGAATGAACCTTTGCCTTATCAGCCTTATATGCCTTTATTAGCTTCAACCGGCCTTCCCGAAGGTGGTGCATCTTCGACATCAAAATTGCCGGATCGAAATTTAGAGTACCAGTTCTGGCACTGGGGTACTGTTAACACACCTTCTCCACACACATCGGTCAATTTCTTTCTGGCTTGAACAGCATTTTTGCCCTTTTTGTAGTAAAACAGTCGAAAATATGTCGAAAATTCTGTTTCTGTTTATTTGAAAGGGCACTAACCAAAAACTACTGCTGGAGAATTAATTGGAATTTTTCACACACAAGCCTTGCTATATGAGCTCTCAAAGCATATAAAAATTATACGGCTTAAGTGTGAAGTGGAGTGCAAAACATACAATTAAATCCTAAGTTAGGAAAAAACGATTCCGAACAACCTAATAGATGCAAACTCAATAAATTGTTACAAAGTACAACTCTGCTCAGTTTAGGACTTGATAGCGTAATAATGTATGTTCAGGTTATTGTTTGATTTTAATTTCAGGCGTAGTAAAATAATATTAATTTACCTAAACAAATATCAAATTAAAGTTTATAGACTTTAATTTAGTGAACAAATTATTTAAATAAATTTGTCTGGAGGAAATTAACTGTTAATAATAGGGACTAGTAGTTTGCCTTATTGTTAACAATGTAGCCTATTATGTCCACCTCCACGTGGTCGCTCCTCTAAATACCATTGTGGTCGTTCCTCGTTGATTTACTATGTTATTGTACTTGACTTTTTCCATATCCTATAATACTTCACCAGTGCCCCGCTAACGTACTATACGTAGTATAAAATGAGTGTATTAAAAACACATTTCATCCCCTCTGAACGATCCCCCGTCCAATTCAAATGGGGATCGAAATTACGACGGCCTGAGCCGAGGTTCGAACTCCTAGCGGCGCCCTCAGACTAAAGTCGTATCTGTCAGGAGTTTCGACTATCAGCCGCGGTTTTGGAGAGACATCTGCATTCGCCCCTTATCGTCCGGTGAAACTGTAGAGGCCAGCTGCGGCCAACAACATTAAAGTAGGCCGAAAAAAATCACATTTCATATACATCAATTATAAAAGTCGTCTATAATCTTTAAAAAAACAATGATATAGCCCTCAATTCTCCCTACCCTCTTTCCCGGAATAGTCCCGAGCCACGCGAATAAATTGTTAATGATACAAAGGGGAAATAAATTTAATAAAAACAGGCAATAACAAAGTATAACCATCATCGGGAATAATTTATAAGCATCGGAAAATTCACAAAGTCGGAAAAAACTTCTTCAATAAAAGTCTCTTTGAATGTCCATTCGATTCGTTTGCGAAAGTCAAATAAATATTAATATTGAAGGAATGATACCACTATGAGTATCTTGGTAATATTTGTAATGCTATTATTATTAAATAGATGATAGTGTCGTGACCTCGTGATTTACTATACTGAACTATGGTACTTACTTATTACTATATATATATATATATATATATATATATTAATGTAAACCCGAAAGTTTGCGAGATGGATGTATGGATGGATGTCTTGTCTCTTTCACGCAAAAACTCTTTAATGAACAGTATAGCTTATACATCATTAATTTAAAACGATATTATGTAAATTCGGTGACATATAATAAGACAAATTTGCGCAGGTCAACTAGTGACACAATAATGTTATGATCTCCCGTTTAATTCAAACGGGGATCGAAATTGCAATGCCGTGAGTCGAGGTTCGATCCTCTAGCGGTGCGCTCAGACTAAAGTCATATTCGTCATTCGTCACGCAGAAGTTTACCTTCAGCTCAATAAGTTCTTCCATGGCTTAGAGTGCCACCTGCACTCGACCCCTATCGTTCAGCAAAACTGTGAATGCCAGCTACGACCAACAGTATTAGAAAAGTTAAAAAAAAATCCTTGCTTAGTCCGGAATTCAGTGACGCTATGTGAATTATCTAGGCATATTATTAAAAGCTAAGTTGCGAATATGGTGTGAGAATAAACTGTTAAAAACAGGATAAAAGTCTTACGTCTTAGATCTAACGAATAGCAGTACATAAATTGTATCATGGATGTTATATGATAACGTGATGTCCATAGCGCTGTTCATATATATAATAATAATAATCTCAGGACATTTCACACAACGTCATCTAGTCCCAAGTTAAGCTAGCTACATAAAGGTCTAGTACCCATAACACACGCTTTAGTTAACATACATAACTGATACAAGTAAATAGATATTTTTTTTAAACAAACAATCATACTCATGAATACAAATATTTGTGCCGGGCGAGGAATCGAACCCGCGACCATCGGACGTAAAGCGGTGTGCTAGACTGCTAGACCACCGAGGTCGTCAAATATAGTTGACGGTTTCCATCAGGTGACCCGTCAGTTGCTTACTGTTCCTGTTATACAAAACGCTGTATTATATATATTAAAGGTCAAAGGGCTATTTGCTTACTTTTTCTTTTTGTTTCTTTTTACTTTCACGCGCTCGTGCTTACGAGCAGCCTCTAGGGTGAACCTTTCACTTGAAAATACATTTAGCTTCTAATTCGAGGTTTCCTGTTTATATAACAAGGAATAATAATATATTTTCTCCATATAACATGTCGGTGTCGTTTTGATTATTATTTTTTAGAATTTAAATAATGGAATAGAACTTTGTAAGCGAATTTGCAGTAAAGAAAAGATACAAAAAATGTAATTAATTTAAATTACACATTTTTTTTATAACAGGACAATTCACGCAGCCCTATCTAGTCCCAAATGTAAGCAGAGCTTGTGTTATGGGTACGAAACAACTGATATAAATACATAAATATTAGTGACTTGAATCGAACCCGCGACCATCGGACGTAAAGCAGTATGCTAAACCGCTACATATACAAATACAATAAAAATAATAATACTATTCCCAAGATGTTTATATATATAGCATGCGTAAAATTCGTTTAAATCAAAATGTAATTTCTTTATTCACGATCTCGTTGGTCTAGTCTAGTGATTTAGTACACAGCTTCCCTTCTGAATTGATTCCTCGCACGGTACAAAGATTTGTATTCATGACTATGATTATTTTTATTGGTCTGAGCATTTCCTATTATAATATATGTATTTACAAATAAGTATATTTAGTACCATAACACAAGCTCTGCTCAGCTTAGGACTAGATGACTCTGGCTCCAGAGATAGACCTTGTTAAATGATACATGTGCGTCTCGTTAGCAGTCTCGTTTGATTAAAACTTGACATAATATTATTTCTACAGGAATATTATTCTATTCCATTGCAAATATATGTACGTTAGTGACTATTAACCAGTCAAGGATAGGTCTAAACTTCAATTATGTTAAAAAAATATATATATCCAATATCTATATATTTTTTGTAACACAATGTAAAATATTGCGATTATTATGTCGATTAATTTAGATAGTACCTTAGTCTATACCATCGGTGCTCTAGCAATCGTGAAAGTATAATACTCGTATTATATACTTTAATGAAATTTGATCATGGTTTTCTAACATGAATTACGCCCAAGATGTCGTAGCTAAGTTTTTCAGTAGCTAAACCCCAAAAAGGATTGACCACAAAGAAAAAACAAATTGACTTTCTAAAAGAAGGATCAACTCGAAACTCTAGAAGCAAGCCCTTCTCAATCCTAGGTATTCTACCTAACTGGATTATTTTAATGGATTTTACAAAATCCCTAAGGATTTAGGTGTTTCAAAATCCAGACCAGATACATTCATATATTCGAAAAAACTAAATGTGTAGTACTGGTAGAACTCATAGTGAAATTTATAGATGCTATGGGGAATAAAGAACATGTATCTAGCTACACTAGCAGGCTACTATCAGATTTGGCTCGCTTGAGAGTGAAATACGAGCAGTGAAGGTGTGTGTTAACGTACATATCCCGTAAACTCCTCGGAGTTTTCCTCTCCACCAAACTATGGAGCCGTCACCCACACGGTAAGTCCATGAAATGCTAAGAACATCGTCTCTGGTGGGTACAAAAAAGTGTGTATTTAGTAAAGAAACATCGATATCAAACGTATTTTTTATCGGAGAGACCGCAGCATGGTCCTGCCGCTTAAGATTAAATATATACCGAGCGAAATGTAGCGTTCGTCAGGATATCGACAATTGATAATACCCCTCCGATCGATCCCCCTTACAATACAAACGGGGATCAAAATTACGACGGCCCGAGCCGAGGTTCGAACCCCTAGCGGTGCCCTCAGACTAAAGTCGTATCCGTCAGGCGGGAATTGGCTTTCAGCCGCTCCAAAAGTCCTTCCGCGGGTTTGGAGGGACACCTCCACTCGACCCCTATCGTCCGGTAAACCTGTAAAGGACAGCTGCGCCCAACAGCATCAGAGTAGTTTAAAAAAAGTTGATAATACGGCTGACCTCCCCATGAATGTTCTCTTGATGTTTTTTTTATTTATATTTCAGTGAATAATTGTTCCCTATGGACGTAAAAGGGATAAAATGTTAATGGTGCAACAGAATTAGATTTGTGTATAAGGTGAAATTGGCCGTTTGTATATAAATATGTATTGGGAACGCTCAATGTCTGAGGTGCGATTGCTTTTTTTATATCCATTTCGTAAATATTAATTCATTTAGGTAACCATTTTCATCATTTCATATTTTCTTTTGTTATCTACAGTATGTAGATGCCTACTGTATACTATTATTGAAGATATGAACGTTTATTTAAGGACGTTAAATTTATTTACTTAACAAATACCGTTATTCTGCAATATG